ACATTTCAATGTACGTTTTACTATTTTTTTTTTTTGCATGATTTAAAAAACAAAAAAAAATAGTAAAACATGAAAAAAAATAAACAAAAAAAGTTTTTTTTAATTTTATTTTCATGATTGAAAAAATATAGTAAAAAAAATGGTTGCCTATAAAGTCGGTTTTACGGGCGAAGATTTTACGTGACAACGTCTTTTTCTCGGTAGAATATTTATTGATATGAATATAATTAAATTGCACAATAGGAACAAGGAATTGAATGAAAATAAGAATTGCACAAATTTTAACTATAGAAATATATTTTGTTTACTAAAACATTGTACATGTAAACTTAAACTTAACACGAGAGACTCATCGTAACGTTACCGAGCGTTACACTTTTTCATAAGTGACTCCCAGCCGCAACCTAATTTAAGACGTTGTCACGTCAAAACGTACATTGAAATGTGCACTGCAAATGTGTACTTGAACTGCCCAAAACCGATCTATTGGATTTTTTATACCTGCGCAATTTATAACTTGAAAACGGTAAGTAATACAAAAAAATTGTTTATACAAAAGTTGTTGGTAATTATGTACGAAACAACTTTTCCATTTAAAGTTTTCCATTAAAATGATATATTCAGGGTGAAAAAGTGAAAAAACACTTTTTTTGAGACTTTAGCGCCACCTACAATGTGCATTTTTTGTTGTACAAGATTGCAACAATGACATACATTGTAGTACTCAACGCTCTCTACAATTATGGTCGAAAAAAAAGTTTCTAAAATTCATACAAAACAAGAAAAATGCGTTTCAAAAAATTTTTGACGGTTTTTTTGAGTTTTTCAAAAAACGCCTACGAGTTGAACATGCCCATCGCCAAGGTGGCTTGCTGACGTCATTTGGCAACAGAAAAAACAAGACTTACCCTTTAGGTTTTTTTTTCACCACTTAACCTTAAGATTGACTGTACTATATAGTGATTACTAAGCAACGATCTACGGTTCCACAAACCATAACCTTTCAAATCTGTTACAAGAAAAGCTTTCATTTCTGTAACAAAAGAAATCATATTCTTCTGAGATAATGCAGAAAAAATCGCTTTTTTAATAAAAAATCCTGAAATGTAGACGAACTCTATCGGTTGTACCATTACACTTATTGTTAAAGAATTTTAGGTATAAAGAAAAAGGGAAAACGGTCGTAACGTAACTTCAGATCGCCAACAAAATAATTAAATGATAAAAATGGAATGTAAGAAAAATTTGTAACAATTAACTGAAGTGTTGAAATATGAATTGTTATTTTTTGCGAAAACAATCCGGTTTATGCAGTGGGATACGACGATTGTGCATGAATGGTGAAAAACCTTAACAATAAAAGAGACAAACAATAGAAGCTGCGTGTGATAATAATTGCATGTTCCTAACGCCAAGAGTGTAGGAAGGTAACTGATAGATGTAATCATGTTTTAATGAAAGTGTGGCAAAAATGAGATTCTATCAGATTCCCGTATTCTTTCATAGATTTGTTATTTATTTTCTTATTCTTGAGCTTTATTATAACTAAAAAACACTCTGTTATCCTTTCTGTTTTTGAATGTTTTGTTTTACTTACAATGTCACTTGTCTAACCTCTTCTTGTCTGTCTGACACTGGAGGTCCGCCTAACGTGTTCTAAGATATTTGAAGGCTTCGCGAAACCTCACCCTTACATTTACAAAAGACCAAACAATATTGTAGGATACGCCAATGCTGACTTTGGCAATAACTCCATAAATAGACGGAACGAACAGAATCGTGTCCCAAGCCTGTAATTTCTAAAAATTGCGGGATTGAAGTTCGCAGATTCCACGCTCCATTTTCTTGTTTCGCCCTTTTACTCAGCATGGGATAAACATCCTACTGATTGATTGTATTAAAAAGTCAAATGTTTCATTTGTTTTGTAATGATGGTGTTTCGAGCTGTCCCAGTTGCAGCGTAGTTGAAATGTCATACAACTTCAAACAAAAACTATAGTTTTCGTGCTTGAATAGTAAACAACGTCGTGGGAACGCCCGACGATTGTACCTTTTGAAGTAAAAAAATTGAGGGCGTCGAACACGCTTTGTTAATTTAGCAATTTATTGTCTAGATATTTATGATTTTCTTATAGACTTATGGGGAATGTCTCAACTTTATTATGGTGTTTTCTCAGGGTGTCGATTCTGCTTAGCTAATATAAAAATCGTGTCTCAATAGCAGTTCAAAAGTATCGTATTTTACCAAAGTTCTTGTTATGAAAACATAAAATAAACAAATATTATTGAATTGATAACTATAACGCCGGCACTTCATTTGTCGATATGTGTTTGCTATTAGTAAACTTGACATCAGTCTGTCCTTTTCATTCCTTAAATAAAGCATGATAAGGACAGACTAATGGCATGTTTCAAATAGCAGACACGATAGACGAGTGAAGTGCCGGCACCTACGTGACATTGGCAAAACTTGTGGTAGTCACAATAAAGCTAAAGCAAATGAAGATGTGCCAGAAGAATAAATGCGTAAGCAAATACGTTTCCTATTTAGTGTTTCATAATAATGAAACACTAAATAGGAAACGTATTTGCGTGATTAATAAATCACTGTATCAAAAATCAAAACTGCTGAAACACAATTGACCCACGATTATTACTCTAACTTAGCAGAATCGACACCCAGTTTTATTGCACCATCGCAATTCTGTCTACCTCAATAGTTAGTCTGTCGAGTAGATTTTTATTAAAATGCCTAAATATTCAATATTCTTGAGACGGATAATATGCAGTATGTAGGTAGGTATATCTGTTGATCATTTTGATTGAGTAAGATTAGTCACTAAGCGAGTAACTGGTCTTCTCACATTATGCGAAGCTCTTTTAGAGTTGCTTAGCGCATCTAACACATCGATTGTCTATACTAATTCCTAGACCTATTTTTCTGACTTTCCTGTTAAACGGGTAATATTTTGTAAGTCAAAGATATTTCTGGTATCAAAATTCCAACTTTTGCGCAAAATTCTTTTAATTAACGCGTAATATTTTCAGAACTACCAATAAAGCCAATAAACTTGATATGAATTCAATGTTTGTTAACGAAAGACGGTGAGTCCAACTTTGCCATGCAACTTAATGCTTAAATTATTATTGTTATATCATAAGCAGGTTTTACACCACCTAGGCTTATATATTATACACCTTCCTTTCCGATAATTATTAGCCTCATGAAGATATATTAGGGAGCAGACTAATGGAAGCGCTAAAGCTAGCCAACGCAATTGCAGTTGCAACCGCAACTACGGTTTCATGTGTTTTTCAAAGCAAGGACGGAAGTGCTGGTTGTAATCCATTTCCTATTGCCTTTCCGAGCATCGCTTACCACGCTGCGCTATCACGCTACTCCAATTTCTAGTAGGATAGTAAGTACCTAATGATTGTCGTAACAGTCTAATATATTAATGATGCGCGGAATGTTAAGAAATACGACTTCCTCATTGTTACAATATTTCCAAACCAATAATCCTTTGTTTCATCAAAGTGTAAGTACGTATTTCAATAATTTATTCTACATGCGTGCGCATAATTTGTACTTATAGTGTATGCTGAACTTTCATAAGATTTTACCAGTTATTGTAGTATGACATGGTTAAGATTAATTGTTTAAAAAAAATCTCTTGAGATTTTTTTAAATACTATCACTTAGACTGGATGCGAATGATATAAAATACACCAACTTCTTGCTGAAAGAGTGCTAGTAGGCACGGTATGTAAATATTGGGAAAAAGCTCAAATCGATTGTGAATTTAATTATATTGCAGGCGAACGGCAGCTTAATCATCGATTATTTCAGTAAAGTTACTGACGCAAGTGCATATAAACCAAATCACTATTATACACAAATTTGAACACAACTTATTCGTTTGGTAACTTTTACGAACAAAATGTAGAGTTGCGTTAAGTTGTCAATCATTGTAATTTCTTTATTTTGGTTGAGTAAATATTTATTTGGCAGATATGTTTTATTATATCACAGAATTCTTAAATCAGTTGTGAATAATATTTTATCCTGGCATTAACATTGGCATTATGACTAATTGACTACGAATTCGATGCACATTAATTAAATAATTGTATTATTCATATTTAACTAATAGTACTTATATGATTTTAATATTAACTGTTATAAAAGTTAACATTAAAAGACAAGTGCATATATTTATATATGTGTTTGTATTGTTATTGTTTCTTTGTTTTTGCATAATTAAACAAAACTTTCATTCAGAAACAAGCTTAACCGATTTGATTTATTGGTTATTAACACCATTTTATTGATAAAAATCTTCTGTGTATACTAAATTATTTCCTAATCACAGAACGATCAAGGATTACTTAGAGCAATTTAAAGCTCTAAACTTTTGGCATCATCTAAACACAAATATAAACAAACGTTGTGCATGTTTGAAATTCTTGATTATTTTCTCTGTATTTGATAGCGATATTGCAGATACAAAATAAGCTAACTGTATGTTCACACGCATACCTACGGAGTAAGAATTCCAAATGAAAGTACGGTACCAGACGTGAACGTAAAGAATAAAAAACGACCACAAAACAAACAACTTATATAAGTTGATAAAGCAATATTATGCTTATAAGGAGTATTCATCCTTAAATAAAAATATAAAAGTGAAAGCTTAGGAATCACAACATTCTACTTTCGGTATGAAACTTCGCTTTCAGTAAAGTAAATGAACAAGTTTTAACTTTGTATGATCGATTTTATTTATAACTCTTATACCTATACAATGTATGTAGTGTTAAACGAGCAAGAGCAAGTTTGCAAATTGCTAGTTTCAAAAAACACCGCATAATGTTTCTCACTTCAAAAAACGTAGCTCTGGCAAACTTGTTCCATTCACCGCTGCTCTACATGTCAGATAAAGTCAAAATCCCATAAAAATCAGTAACTTAATTAATTATAAATTCAAAATGAGCCTTACAGTTACTCCAAAGCTTTTAGTGCACTCGTGCTCGCCAACTGAATGCCAGTTCTTTGTAAAATTTCCCAATTACACAAACACAATGCTTTTTGATATCGCAGTCAACTTATTAAACTACTGATTCGCAGACACGATTATTATTAAAACGATGCGAGTGATCGATCTCGTTTTACGACAGTAGCAGAGACGCGCGCGTTTTCCGACGGCACAACACTGACTGCGCGGGCGCACTGAGGAGAAACTAAAGAGAAAAGTGCCCTCACCCACAACAGCTAGTTACATCAACGCTCTCAGTACAGACTGATATTGTTCGCGGCGGCCAAGACAGTATTTCTTCCTTCTGGTGGTAATAATTGAGATGATTTCAGCTGAGCGTAAATTATTCTTCCGCTTTCCGCTTGTTGGTCGCAAAACGCAACACAAACAATCACAAGAAATTATTCATAAAATACGTATTACGTTAGATCCTCGTGCCATTTGATACTTTTTCGTTTTGACAGACAAAAAATATCTATATACGTCAAATTCAGCCTTGTTTATGGTTTTTAAAAATATTTGTACCAAATAAAAAGGTATTATTTACATAGCAAAAACTTTTGTGGTCACTTTGCCGATAAATACAATCTGTTTTGCCAATTAAATGTTAATATTTAATAGATTACTAAATAAGAGAACGAGAGAACTCTTTAGCTGAATAAATTGGAAACATGTTAGTTAAATATAGCAGATAATATAATTGTTAGTAGAAAACAAAATACATACGTAACATAAATGTCGATATTCTGGTAAGTGTTTACATGTTTACGTAACTGACTGTAAATATCTGTCAATTACACAAATGCTTAACGGAAAACTAATAGAAGCTTCGATGCGTAGCGCGTAACGTTACTTACTAACAAAATCCCTTAAAAAGTAGTCGAGCATTGTATGTCGAGCTTGTATTATGCAATTATCTGTAATAACGACGATGAAACACAAACAACTAAGTAGAACAAAGAGTGAACATCGAATAATGACAATTCTGTAAGTTTCAATTAAGCAAGCTATTAAAGGAGAATTTAGTATTTTTCTGTTGTATGTATGTAAGGTTTTGTAAAATGAGTTCCTAGTTTGTATAAGTGAGGATTATATTGCTACATAAAAGGTACAGTCAAGGCTGTGTGGACAATGCATTCATATGCGCAAACTGAACAACGAAAAACAAACAAGGGAGTAAACAATATGCAGACAGTATTCAAAAGTAATATACAACAGAATAAGTGAACTTTAAAGCTTTCCCTTGAAAATGATAGCTTTTCATCAAATTAATCCCCATACAGAAATTGAAATCCTGATACTAGTAACTTTTTTAATTTTAAGGTGTTTTAAATAGTTATTTAATTGTTAACAAACAAATAAAATGTATTCCAATAAAGTTGAAACGATGTTATGACATTACAATATTGCCAACCTGTTAAAGTAGTTTAATTTTAATATAATATAATTTCTGCGGGTCTTCTTTTGTGAAAACAACTTAAGAAATTATGCACTTTAATACTCATGTCAACGGAAAATGCCAATTGTTGTATTATTAAAGAGTATCTTACCGGAGTAATTTACGTTTTTAACTTTAATTTATTTTATTATAGATATTGATGTAAGAAGCATTCGTAATGGATTAAGTAAAGCTTTCACGAGAAAAATAATAATATTATTTTAAAATATTTGTCTTTACTAAATCAAGTTCTATTGTTTTTTCTTTATTTAGATGTAATAAAGTGATAAAAAAATTAGAATTATTTACACTAAGGTGGGATTAGAGCATTCATTTATTGAATCATGAAAATCAGGGCAAAAAGGGCCAATTTATTTTCTACAAATAATTTGTTTCATATTTTAGACCACTGGTCCACTCTCGCTCGCTACGCTTATGTAAGTTACTTTTTTTTTAGATAGTTCCGACACATGACTCCACCCCACCTGATGTTAAGCGATGGTGATAGCTGGTGCAGCAGTTCTATCTGCCTCACCAGCCATCCTCACCTTGCCGCCCTTATTGTCGCATATTGCTTCTTCATGCCTCTTTTAAAGGATACCAGGTTATAAGAAGAAGGTAAGAATACGTGAGCGGGCAGTGCATTCCATTTACGGATAGTGCGACAAAGAAACGTGTCACAAAATTTCTTTGTACGCGTTGGAATTGTGGCCAGAGTTAGACGGTGACAGCGCAGGTGGTCCTTTAAGGAAAGGGAATTTTGTTCCTTCCTCTTGATTCACTCTATCTATTGCTGAAAACTACAATAAAATACGTTGCGTAGTTTTAAAGATCTAAGCGTAGAGTCAGCGGGCGTTGACGCTCCTTTTATATCTTGTAATGATTTAGTACTGATAAAACTACTTAATAACAGCATAGCATAACGTAAGATTCTTTTTTTAAAAACAGTTGTTACAAAACAGCTCTGGCATACCTAACAGTGATTAAATGTTTTTTAGGAGTCGGCTAGTCGGCTGCAGCTGCAGACTGCATTAGTGCGGGACTGCGCAACGCAACCACTTTCACCGACCGCGGTGAGCCGGCCCATACTAAGGCGGCTTGCGCACTAGACGGCTACGATACCAGCGGTATAGGTACTGTTTAAATTTAATTTATAGAGACAGTAAATAATCTTGACAGTATGCCGTGTTCTTTAGAAGGTTGTAGTAATAAGTAAAAATAATTATGATACTAGTCCAACAGTGTCTTTATTGACTACAGGAACAGTTGGCTTAATTCATTCAAAAATTGTACAATATATAAAAAGTTTGGTTCAGTTTCTGCACAATTTAATAAAGTATTAGTGAAAAAATACTATCTTCCGCCCGTGACTTCTTTCGTGTTGTAGTTAGTTTTTGAAATCTGCCCAAAAGTTTTCCGGCATAAAAAGTATTCAAAGCCTCAAAACTTGTAATAAACTTTAGTTGTCCCAAATTTCATTCAAATCCTTGCAGCCGTTTTTGCATGATTATTTTGGTTTATTTGGTATTAGTGGGAGTGACCTACTTGGTGCATTGATTACCCAGAATCGTAGTCGCCTAGAGTGCGAGTGGCTTAACAGTGTATCCGTGCGGCACTAGAGTGACGCGAGCGCACGCGTCTTACGTATCGCCTATTGACTGCTAATGTTTGCCTGTAATATATTTCTAGTCTAGTACTATGTCATAAAGATCAGCATGTTGTAACGGCTTTGAGTCAAACATGCACTTATTATATAAAAAGTCCATAGAGTGGAATGAATCATAAATAAATTCCGGATAAGTCAGTAAAAATATTTATCTAATTTTATTTTGTAGTATGCAGTCTTTAATAAAAAACACAGATCTGCTGAGGTTTATAGTAATAAATATACCTGATTATAGAAAACTTTATAAGAAGTCAATATTTTATTTTTATTTATGCATTTAACTATCCGCTTATATAGCGAGAAAGCAAGCAACTGGCACTTAATATTTTATTGCTTTTACATAATCCAACATACAAGGGAAAAATAATTTTAATTCATCAATATCATCATATCTACCGTACGATGCCCACTGCTGAGTATAGGCTTCAACCAAGTGTTTTTCCACACCGATTGATCCTGCGCTATTCGCATCCAAGAGAGGTAGGGCATGGCGGATTTCTCACACGGGTTGGAGCTCCTGACTCCACAGGGTAGGGTATTGGGTCAGGGTAGCCAATGGCGAGTGATATTTTTGGTATCGCAAGCGTCTCTATAGGCTTTGGTGGCCGCTTACCATCAGGCGGGTCATATGCTTGTTTGCCACCCTTTTAACAAAAAAAAAATAACATTAATCGACTTCACTAGATCATCTCTGGGATAATAGGCGAAACAAATTTAATTAGGTTATTATAGACAGTCTGTAAATATACTCACGCGAATATGGCGAACAAATAATAACTTTCTACAGTAGCTTGAGTGTATGTTTTAGCATCATCATCGTGACTGCGGGTAGACCAAGATTGAGGTCAATGGTGCGTCGAAAATTTCAACATGTACTTAGGTAGGTACACTTTGAATTAATTATGATTATTTCCAATTACCGTTCTAGTTTCTATAAAAAAATCAAAGATACGTATAACAGAAACATTTCTTTTCTGTTATAAGCATAAGCCTTAGCATAATAAAGTTGTTACTCCACTTAAACTTCGTATTTTTTTCTATTATTCGCAAGATAAACAACCAGACGGACCTGATGATATAAGCCACCGTGGCCTTTGGACGACTGCGACATCAGGAATATCACACGCACGTTGCTGGCCCTTTATCAACTTCTTCACGCCTCTGTTAAACAAATCCATGCTGCATCCCTTTGGGATAAACACAGCAATAACTGTACGGCAATTACACTTTCTTTTTTATAAAATAGAACGAGTACTCTTGGTTCTTCGCTACAGCAAATAAACATGCACACATACAGCACTGACAACCCACAATGATGAACAGCCTCTAAAAACCTTATTTATGCCTCTTCTTGAGTGTACCCTAGGTTGTTGTAAAGTGAAAAAAGTGCGGCCAAATAGTGCCATGTTCAAATAGTGCACAGAAAAATGAGTTGCCAAAACTTTAATTGTGTTGGAATTGTATTTTTATTTGCATATTGCATAACATTATATTTTTAGATATTATTTTCCCTTGCAGAAGCAGAAACAATAAAAAATTTAAATTAATATTTGCAAGAAAATGATAGTCGTTCGTCTTGTAGCGCGTTGATGTCTTTTTCTTAGAAACTCTGCAAAATTATATAAATTCATATTTTAACAATATTCAACAGTATAACCATATTCATCAACATATATTATCTCACTGTGCACTCAATGCACTTAGCTCTGTAGTAGCTGTTGCTTGTAAATTTCGCTGATAGGAATCGCAATAAAAACTTATTTGTGCATTGCATATTAATTTAATGTCTAATGTTATTTGTTTGTTATTCATTTAAAATATACACACATCAAATAAAGTTTGCGATCACTTTGGAAAATAGATTGTTTTTTGTGTTACAGATAAGATTCTAAATTTTAAAATTAGAATTAGAACATAAAACAATAAAATAATTTAATTGCTTTTCCATATAAAAGACATGCAATCCAAGCTGACACTCATTCAGAAATCTGACTTAGTCAATATTATCGAATTTAAAATATTTTTTCACGGAAAGTTGTGATTTAAAAAAATGCCACGAGAATTATCAGATGTTTTACGAGCCAGAATTGTAATTTTAAGGGAAGAAGGCTATTCTACGAGAGAAATAGCACGCAGAGTTGTCATATCCCAATCCTGTGTAGTAACCACGTTGCAGAGGTACCACAGCATAGGTAATTTAGCTGATCAACCCCGCAGCGGTCGCCCAACTGTTTTGACAGCTGCTCAGAAGCGCTACATCAGGTTGCTGGTAGCCCGCGACTTAACAACAAACGCCACTAAATTAAAAGCAGAAATACGGCAAACAAGCACGTGTATAATGTTTAATTATATAAATAATAATAATAATTAAACATTATACACGTGGTTTTGTTAAATAAAAATAAATAATAAGTTATAATAAATTATAATAAAAATATAAATAAAAGTAAATAACGGGTTCCATTCGTTTCCGTAAATTCTGCTTGTATGGTGTGAACTACTAATGTGTACATGCCTAAACTATCTTTCTTTTAAAAGTACTGTGTATAATACTTTTAGAAACAGTTTTTTCTTTTAACCTGAAGCGTGGGCGGTTTAGAGCTAACGAGTATAATTTTATGAGCTTTAATTCGCTACAAATGAGTCGCGATGTAGAGTAAGTTTCTTTCGATTACATATAAAATTCCTCTTTTAAAGATAACTTGTGGTTTTGATTAAAAAAAAAGTGACTGATTTTCAGCGACTCAAATATAACTAAAAAAAATATTGCTGGGGTGATCTCATCAATAAATATAAACAATATCAAAACTTACCAATACTATGCTATCCATTGATGGACTATTATGCTTGAGAAAGTTAGCAGCTGGCGTATTCTATGTGTATCTTTCGCTCCCGGACTGTAAAAATGTATGCCGTAGTAGGTAAGGGTTAAGCGCGATAAATTTGGACTGTACAGCCGAGATACTCTTAAATGTGTACATAGTTCTGCTAGGCTAAACTTCATGTTTTGCTACATGAAGTTTAGTTAGTCTAAGTAAAAGTGTCCATATCGAGGTCTGCTGAAAGTAAAAGGATGTCTGACGAACGCGGTGATGTCACCCGGATTTTGTGGGCATCAACGAGACATTTTTACAATCTCCGGCTTCGAACTGCTTTGTCTCAATAACCCCATTTCGTAATAAGCATAATAATATGTAGGTAGATGGCCTCCATGTATTTTTACATGTAATTAGTAGGTCTGCAGCTAAATATTACTAAACTCAGTATTTTCCATACAATACTTTATTATTATATAATAGTAGTCCTTGTTGATGTCATAATGAACATCGACTATTTTGTATTTTATAAATTAGTACTCAGTCGAAAACGTTACCACAATAAACGGTACAGATGATGACCTGTACCGTTTATTGCGGTTTTTTTATACTTGTTGTTTAGAAAAACTGAAATAGGGTTGGCAAGGTCAGGATGGCTGAAGCGGCACTATTTTCTGCCGCATCGTATGTGCTAAGAGTGCGGTAGTGCCAAGGCTATAGGGGCTCCAGCTGAAGGAATAGCGTCAATTTATTTATTAAATTATATTACAACGCTTCATAGATTTCGTTTTTTTTGTTTCGTCCCAGGCGGGGAAACAGGTGTGAAATCCTCATGCATACCCTACAGCCGGCTGCAAGGTATGTCAGACTCTTATTAACTGAAAGCTTCATTTGAAGTGATCCTCCCCTGAGAAGGGGATGATGCTGTATAATCGCCGATCTTTTCAAGTGCTTGACATACTTTTTGTAAAAACGTAACGTTAGCGCGACTCTGAAGCCGTTGCCGTTGGTACTCTCGGTAGCGTTGTGGATATATTGTGGTTTTTAAATAGTTTATTTTTTTAGATTTTGCTGCAATGCAAGGTTTTACGCTACAATAACTTCATCTATGTCACTATTAATGTTTTCTTCGAAAGAATTTTCAATAGGTAAGAATTTTTCTTTAACCAAATTTGAACGACTATTACTCTTAAACCAACAAATCTATCTTAACCGTTATTATTTTCCTTAAAAGTTCATGAAAAGCACTATTAGCATGATTTTTTCCAAAATTTTCAAGTCAATAGTTTAGCTTTTGTAAGGGGATACTCAAAAAAAAATTAGCATATTAAAGTTCAATATTTAGTACTTTCGTGCTAGGGGTACAGTACCCCATTATCGAATTCGAATAGATTGCAAACCGAAATGACAATGTCAAATTTTGTATGGAAACTTGAACAGCAGCCGCGCAAAGTATGTAACGAGAACTAAAAATCAGTACACATTTGACAAAGACATTTCTGACTCGCAAACGATACGAATTCGATATTGGTTCGTGCTAGGGGTACAGAACTTAAACTCGAAACTAGTGTTGACTGATGCGGACCCTTGTGGATAGAATATCTTGGTTACCTACCTTTCTTTACGATAACGAATCAAAAAGCATTACTGTAACCGCTGCTGTAACTTTTGGATAAAGAATCTGGTTCTACTATGTCTATACTGTAACCACTTCATTTTACTTCTATGCTTTAGTTCTTCTTCTTAAAGTTTCGATCATCGTCCAAAGTTAAGATTTGGTTACGATAGTTTGATACGATTAAGCGCCATCTATAATAATACCACACAAATAAAAGTGCAGTGTTGCCATGTATTGCTATATCGAACCACGCCATCTAGCGAATTATAATCGATCAAATAACGCTTCAATAGATGGCGTTAGTTGTTCTACTAGAAAGTTTCATTGTACTTTCTAAAAATAACACCAGAGTTCGTGCGAGGCGCTATATTTAGTTTTAGTTATTTGACAAAAAAGATGGCAGCGATTGCCGACTGCTGTCCTTCGGGTTTTAAGCTAAAATGGCGCATTATGTGATATTTTCACATAATTTGATAAATATAAGTGAAAATTTGTGTAGTGCTACGTTGTGATGGTTTATTGTTTTACATGATTGACAGTGTACTCGTGTGTAAATAGGACTGCAACTTTCTTCTGGATATTGGATTACAGCTAAAGTAAAGGTATTTATGCAGCATAAACATTAAATATTAGTGATTCAGTCTGTTTATTACATTTTTTAAGTCAAGTATATTCTGCTTTATCGGATAAATGAGATATTTACTAGGAATATTACATAAGAATGTATTTTTTATACATACTCTAACAACTAGTATTAACTTCGTACCATAATCATAACATATGTTTTATTTTAAATTTCCTGGTAGAACAGTACGTGTTCAAATTCAAAACCAAGTGTGGAAATCGTGTCTGCTTTAGTTGGGGCTGGTATGACATCAGCGGGCAATGCCTACTACTGTAAACTTTAGCATAGTGATTCATCCTCCAAAACTTCCACTCATAAATCCATGGATATAAATGTTCATTATTTCAAAGAAATAGTATTGTACAATATGAAATGTTCAAGACTGTTCTTAAATTCCTACCTAAATATTCCACTATAAAACAAAAGGTAATGAATGCAGTACTATTAAAAATTATAATTATATCTACTATGAGTAATAAAAAGAAAGTAAATGATGTATAGTGAATAAAAAGTTTGCAAAAATTCACTACTCTTGTTTATGTCTTATTAGAAAAAAAGGTTATTTAGAAATAACATAATATTCAATCAAAAATGTTCCTGTTTTAACTGCTGTAATCTTAAAAAAGTAAAAACTTCAAATTCCGGTCACAGTGTTTTCATCTCCAGTAGCCAAAGTAGTATAATGCAATCAGATTTATTTGACAGATATGACACCTACTTCAAAAGTTATTAGTTTTACTTGTACTTTAGATTTATTTATTGTCTTTGTATTTTATGAATAAGGTTTATGTTAAAAACAAGCAGTCTTTCTACAAAAAAGTTAGACTTTTAGAAACACTTTCAAACGTGTTTAGGCAAATTTTGTGTGACGTTTTTACTTAAACTTGTGTTGAACACACGTTTAACTTTTTTGTGGTAATAAGGTGAGTATTCTTCATTTTAAGTCAGAGCCACGTATATATCAGATTTGGTTAGCTTAACTGGTAACTAAAAACTCAATAATTATGTGTACCATGTTCATTTCCAGTTTCGTTTCGTTTCCAATTTATTACGATAGAATAGGACTGAGTATTCTAAAAATAAAACTAATTCTAACAAGTATGTTTATAATCAGTTCAGAATTTTTTAAGTTATGAACAGCAATAAAAATAAATTCAGAAAAACAACTTTTTAAAATTACTAACTTCTGGCAAAATCCATAAATGAATGGACAATAATCAAAGAGAAGTAATAGAATTAAACAGAGGCAGAAGTCCCAGCTGCAAGACCTGGGGGCCAATCGCCTAACAGGGTTGCTATGGCTATCACTTATGATTTCATTTTGATTATTTTGACCGCCTAAGGTTCTCAAATACCTCAAGCTGATTTTTGAGTTAAGTTCTGATTTTCTTTAATATTGTTACCAATTTTATGATTTGAATCTTTATGGACTAACAACTTGCATTGTTTCATTGTCTTTTTATTTTTTCACATTATGAAAACCGAAATGCCAATATGAACCTCATAATAATGTATATTAAACAATTTGGATTGCATCCAATGAGAAGTATTATTCTGTCGGTGATTTGTTGTTTATTAATGTTATTATCATAGGATTACAGAATCCTAGGACTCTAAATAACATTTTTAGGGTTCCGTACCTCAAAAGGAAAAAAGAACCCTTATAGAATCACCTTAATGTCTGTCTGACTGTCAAAACTTTATCTCAGGTATGCGTGGAGGTCTCCAGTTGAAATTAAATTCATGTGTAAACTATATACCTACTCAGGTCTGTGGTCCCTTGAAGCTGTGCAAAAATCAGACTTCTAAGTTAACGCGAAAAAAAAGATAATACATCGCGTCATACCTACAAATTCGTACGGAACCCACTGTGTTACTATACTATAATTATTTTGTCGTTCTTGTTGCTTGTTTCCTCATAAATAAGGTTTTTGACAGTATGAATGATAGGACCTCAATAATTTGGTCTAACAAAGCCCTTCATTCCATTATGTTTTGGGTCATCAGATTAAGAGCAAGCACACATTGAGGCACTAATCGCGGCCACTAATAGCTCAGCCAAGCCACTAGTCACTGCCACCAAGCTAATCGAGAGAAATCGAGTGGCCGCAAGCTTAGTGACCACCGCGTCAGTGATCGTCAACAGCTACTCTCTCCACTTCTACTTTAACATAATATTCTTTACTGATTTGAATCTGCTGGTTCTAGTACGCCCACGTGTAGCTGACAGTGAAGCATATGCTGCATGTTGATACGTGAAAGCAAGCATTTAGGTATGTCCAGTTCGGTGAAATACGATGTGCTTTGAACGGGATCCTTACAATTTTTGACGTAAAATATCAATTCTGGCTCGAAAGGTGTCCTCATAAGATTGACATTTGTCTTCCAGCTTATACCTTCGTTCGTCCAAATCTTCTCCACTTCACATGGACAGGCATTCACGAGGACTTCGCCGTGCGGCTAGCACATCAAATCGTCTTCCAATTGCTACCCCAAAAAAGACCTTTTTCTTTTTGCGTGCGATTTTTATATATACAGACGAAATCTCAATGGAAAAGTTTATTTATTTTTACAAAAAATGGTATATAGCAGAACGGATGTACAGCTACACTGGCAAACATATAGAGTTGAATGATCTTCACATACACGAGACCCAAGTAGAATATCGAAAGAGTGATGTGATTGGCTGAGGCAGTCAGATCAGACAAAAGGGTCTGTTAAACCGTTATTAACTTAAATGGTAGGTTTTAGACAACAATTCATACAATGAAGCACATTAGATTTGAATTTACGATTATTCTATTTTAAAAAAATCATATCTTGGCATTGATGTACTTTACAGATATATGGCCTTATATTTTATTTTTAATATTTTTAGTTCTATTCAATAAAAAAAATCATTCGTGGCCGCAGACTTTGAAAATCAAGCCACTTTTACCCAAACCCCTTTATTGAGTTACTTTCTATAGTTCAGAGGTAATCATAAGCAAACCTGTTCACACGCGCTCGAAGCACGCCCCCTCCTACCCGCGCCTCAGACAGCAATTAGCATACTCGAAAATCCACCGTTGGTTGATTTTTAGGCATGCTCTAATTAAGCATGCTTATTACTAGCAATATTGTTACACACGTGCTACTAATGAGCACCTGCTCAATAAAAGCATGCTTCCGTGCTAGTAATGAGCACGTCTGTGCGTACCTTTATAACCCGCATCTTATTCCGCTGTGCTCACCAACGAGATTAAAAAGTTGTGGCGAAAGAAAACAGTCCCTCCCAGACTCATACATCGGTTAGTCTAAAAATGGCTCTGTTCAACTATAGACTAGCTGTAGAGATAGACTCCGAACTAGAAAAAGGTGATGAAGCTGAAACTAGTGGACATAGTAGCAGACACATCCAGCAGTATAACCCTTGAACGCTATTCATAGTATATATTTAGATGTAGGTAGGTATATACTTATAATAAAATGAATAAATATTTCCATACAATGATATGTTTTTTGCCGATTATAGTACGGAACCCTCCGAGCGCGAGTCGAACTTGCCCGGTTTTTTCTTATTTTTTTAAAAGTTAAGGAAAGTAATCAAATTGTTTTCACAAGTTTACCTAAAGCTGTTTTCGCGTTTTCACGTGAAAAATGGCTTAAATCGTCTTTCTTTTCAAAATTCACCTTAGCTATAGTACTTGCAAATAGATTTAGGTAACCTCGTAAAAACAACTTGATTACTTTCCTTTACTGTTTTACCAACAGTTGCCAGACATACATTTTGTGACGGTGTCGCTGCTGGATGTGTCTGCTACGCTACGATCTGCTAATTTCAGCTTCATTAAAAGGTGACTGAAATAACCTGGATTTAACTTAAAATTTTGTGTTCCTCATCGTTTCATCCAACTGATACAATAGGTAATACTATAAATAGATAATCAATAAAAGATTTAGTAAATATATTAAACACTGCGCTTTCTCGATCATGTCTCAACTGCTCGTGCGTATCCTTATGCCTTTATAGTCACGTAAATCCTGTCCTATGTTTTCGCAATTTTAACACCAGCATAATAATTTTTTTTAATGTTGTTGATATTCACGTAAATTTATGTAATACATTTACATTCTTTCCATTATGTTTGTTTTGTATGTAAAGTTCAATTATTTATTCTATCGCTTAAGTTATAAAATCGCTAAGCTAAAAAGGTCTGTCTATGCCGGCCCTTACTAATATCGATGGATAAGGTTGACCTCACAGTCCCCCCCACATTCAAGCGAATTAGGCAACATCAATCATCGCAAACAAACGTAACTTGTCAATTCCCCTTTGAGTGACAGTGACAAAGCAAAGAAAGAAAGCTAGGTTTCTTTTACATTTCTCTGCTTCCTTCCTAATTTTACCTAATGTAGCAAACTGCAAAGAGTAACAAACATAATGCCACATCGGTCACCCTCGCTTTGCCAACCTTGCAAATATGTAACACGAAAGAGTTACTGCAGGTTTTAGGGCGTCGTACCCCAACGGTATAAATGGAACCCTATTGATGTCGCTATGTCGTCTGTTTGTCTGTCTGTGTGTCCTTAAGTCACGGATCCTTAAATCGTTATCTGAATGAGTTACAGAAATACTTGCCCAAAGCCGAATATTTAGTTAAAACTTAAATTAAATTATTTTTCATGGGGTGTTGTTCCATACTTGAAGAGGAGACGAAAATATTTTTTTTCTTTTTTACCGCAGCATGTGACACGTCTTTATCTAGAGATCGTTGAGTAGGATATAAATATAATTTTTATTATTAAGAAATGGGTAGACCATGTTTGTTACCCCGTAACAAACATCTCAAAATTTAAACTAGTCAGGAATGTGAAATTTTGGTATAATTATGATGTCTTATATGCTGTATTTAAACAACAAATACTGAAAATGCCGACTTATAATGTACTTTTTTTATATTAGAGTCGTCATTGTAAATAGTATTTTTAATGTAG